TTTTCGAAATATTTTCCCTTGTTTTTTTCGCCGAACCTTTCCCGCATTTTTTTGCGACATATAATCTGTCAAATTATTTTTAAAACGAAGCAAATCAACGAGGGGCGTTTTCACGCCAATTCACGATTTTAATTTTAAAATTTGATGGAATTTCTCGATATTGCAATAATTTTGAGGATTTTATTGGGTTTTTTCCAAGTATTTTATTTAATTTTTAGAGATTTCTTGGGATTTGGGGATTCTAGGATTTAGTAAGATTATTGGAATTTTTCCAAAGATTTTTTTGGATTTTTGATGAAGTGTACGAAGATTTTCAGAGTAATTTGTCCCTCGTGTTAGTCAACTGATGTATTTATGTATATGTATAGGTAGTAATGGGAGAAGCATTCTGAAGCCGGGATCTGAAGCCGGGATGTACAAAACCGGGATAGCTTATCGGTTAGCGGAATCCAAAATAGCAAACAAAGTCTATGCATTAATTGCACAATCGCTGTCCTTGGTTTCACAGTCTTTTTAAAAATGTAAATGGTGGCGCACTGTAGTATGAAATTGGTATTAGACAATGGCCGTATAGGCATCTGCTCATAGCCCAGAAATCTAATTGACGCCTTACTCTTTATAACAAACAAATTAACTAAACATAAGTCATAAGAGCGGTACAGACATGTAGCTCTCAACTTAAGGGCCTTAAGGACGTTATAGGGTTTCCTCCTACACAAGTTTAACCACACCTGATTAAACCTTATTAACAACACCTGGTTTAACCTTATAAGCTAGTTCATACTATAAGTTCTTTCTCCTCCGCAGAGGCGTTTAAAGAATTTTGTAATTGCGCCAGAAGGTAAAAAAAGGTTATAAATTCATGTCTCGCTGTTTATGAATGCTGAGTCATATCCTTACCCTCATTTTAATCATAACCGCTGACCCTAACTCGTGAACGGTGATCCGTAAAAAAGATTAAAGTAACCGCTAAATTTCGGTGCGCACAAGAGAAGGGAATCATCTATTAATCCTTTAAAAGCCTCTGCGGAGGAGAGAGCTATAATTAAGTTCCTCTAATCACAGAGGAGTCAACAAAGTTTAACTAAAAAAATTAAAGTGAATTTGTGTCTTTGAAAGAAATTTCATACATTGTCGCACCCTTTGACTCAAATCATTACACTTTGATCTTAGATCTTTCGATAGTGTTAAAGGTTGATAGCGGTTCTAAAAAGGATATCGCCGTTAGCATTAATATAGGGAGTGGTTGGAATATAAAATAACTTCCCACACATCTCCGGAACTCAATTGATACTTAGTTATGCCACATCTCTCCCACTTTAGATTATCCAGCTTACACCAGACAAATTTGGAAACGTAAAAAGCTCGTTTTTCAATTTACACCAGGCTGTCACGAATCTGGCCAGTGACACTGGAGCCTCTCTCTAACAGACAGAAAGGAAAATTCTTCGGTAAGTTACGGATGCAACGCTCCGGTAAATCAACATACAAATCAATCTTTGGAATATTTATAAGGCATGGAAAACATTCAATGCATAGCCCATCGTTTTGATTCTCAAGATAAGAAATTAGTGAAAAACCAATTTAAATTATAAGTGTTCTGTTTTAATAAGCTTACTTATCAATTGTATATTTGGGTTCATTTTTCATTATCGAAAATTTCAGATGTTATTTTTAAAAGACCGATCATTATCCTAATCCAAATTTTTCAGCATCTTGTTTGCAGCTGTGATTGCATGGCCGCGGTTCTGCGGGAATGGGCAATTGCAAAAATGTCGAGTGCATCATGAAATTATAGGGATTTTAAGAAAAATTGATTAAGTGGAATGGAATGAGACATGGCGGAAGAACGAGATTTGGAAGAATTTGTTGGGATTATGGGATTTCGGAACCCCATTGAGGAAATATCAAAACGATTTCATAGATCTTTTCCGATTAAAATCGGCATCGCATATACACCCCCGAGAATTTCATTAATTTTATCGGTCGACTGAAGTCGCATCGCGCGTGCGCCTATAGCTTCAAAGCGAAATAAAGATGATTGGACAGTATTTAATACTTAGTTCGGTAGTTCAACGTGCACCCGACTAATTAGCCATTCCGAAGTTGATGAGAAGACTGGGGACGAGTGTTAAAAAGTGCCCAAATTAAGAAATAAAAAGATCACCTCAAAATTAGTAAGTATACAAAGTTTGAAGACGTTCACATGAATACCCTTCGAATAATAAGCTTTCGAAAATTGTGAAATTACTGATTAAAAGATTGTTTTTGGGACGCGCGTCCCAAAAACAAAATTTACAATACATTTCATAGTAAATATCACCATTTTCGAAAGCTTATTATTCGAAGGATATTCATGTAAACGTCTTCAAACTTTGTATACTTACTAATTTTGAGGTGGTCTTTTTAGTGATTTGGTCCATTTCTTAATTTGGGCACTTTTTAACACTCGTCTCGAGTCCACTCATCAACTTCGGAATGGCTAAGCCCGACGCAGAACGCGTCATATGGATGCGCAGTCAACACGAATTGATGTGTAGCCAGTACACAGCCGTAAATTCTCGCGAGGATTTGCATTTGTGTACAGGCTACACCTGAATGACAGCAGAATCTATTGAAATATTAGCAAGGTGGGGTTGGAAACCGCAACCGCAACTTTGGAGAACCCTTTCTTATTGTCGATTTCAAGTCACTTTTCAACGCGCGGGTCCCAAGTTCGTTACGAACTTCGCAATGAAGTTCGCAAGTACATCTCAATGTTCGAACTTCGTTTGTAAACGAATGTTCATAGCTCAATAATAATCACCAATTCAATGAAATACAAACATTCTTGGGAGATCACTGATCATCCGTTGAATTGTTAATTTCAACTTGAACTATAAATATGGAACAATAGAAATTCAAACATTGAAATGGACTTGCAAACTTCATTGCTTCGTTCTTCACGCCCAATTTCCGAACTTGGAAATTTATTAGGCATGTTCATTGTTCGCAACGAACTCGGGAATGCGCGTTGAAAAGAGATCTGAAATCGACAACGCAACTATTAATCAGCAACTATTAATTAATCTGTCAAAATCAAGGCAGGTGAACAAATTGTTATGATACTACTAAATTATTAGTACCGACATATAGATTGAAATGTATTACACGACGCCTTCATAGATCTAAATTGCAAAAAATGCACTTCAAGTTGTTGAGTTTCTGGAATAAAGTATAAAATTAAAGGTTTGTCTGGACTTTTGAATTTTGATAAAATACATAAGTGTATAAATACGAAATAACATGTGGCAGTTTTTTGTATAAATGGCAAAAGAAGCAAAATTTATACATGGGGTTGTGTGTATATGTTTGAATAGTGTCGTCAGTTAAATTAAAAACTAGAAAGACGTCATGAAGACATGAACATAAATGGAAAAAAAAACAGGATATCAAAACAAAATTTCATGTATTCTCAAACTGTTGGCTAATAGTACGCAATAATTAGTATTTTTGAACTGAAGTTCATCTAAACAGCCGGACACAATTTTGTACGATTATATAGCAATGCAGAAAATATTTGCCGATAACCTCATAAAGAATAGGATTTACGAAATTGCGTATAAAATCATCATAAATTCTAGGAAGTGAAAATGGGCATTCTGTAATCTGTAATCTGTACACCCTGGTTAAGATTTTCCTGGTTAACTTAGAAATAGCCTTTTTTGGGTCGACTTAATATAGCCTAAAGGCCTGTCTACACTAACAATTTTCGCTGCAATTTCAGTAGTGTGATTTTCGTCTTCTGATCGGCATGTGAACGAGTAGATAAGTTATAAAGTTCCTGATCAAAGTTCGTGGTTAATTTATCTCACTTCGTATAGCTATCATAGCAGGCCCGGAGCTACGG